ACAAGCCGAAGAGGTTGGAGAGCACACTGTGCAGATCAGACCTCCCAGGGATGCTCTCTTAGGCCTTAAAGAAGTTTGATGAGTGGAGGATCCTATGGTGCCATTATCAAGGCAATCCTGAAAGTTAGGCTGTTAGGTTGGCCTTTCCTAAATGGGACCTGTACCTCCTTGACTTAGGGGATGCTAAAAGCAGCATTTTTGATGGCAGTGACTTCAGCCAGATGAGTGTTGGAAATCCAGGCTTCCTCACCAGGCCATACTGAGAGATTTTTTTATAGACAAGGAGCTCTTATGTCCAGTCCCTTCTTTTGTCACACTACTCTACTTTTCATATGAACTGGGAGAGAGTGTTGTCGTCTGTACTATAACATTAGATATTTCAGTACAAGAAGACCAGGTTAGAGTAGATCTGCTCCATGTCATTGCCACATATCTGTGGAGGACAGAAGGGTAGAAAATTAATTTGATTTACCAGAAGGTCTCAAGAAGGGTCAGGGGGATTCTTTCTTCATGGATAGTCCAGGCTATTAAGCAGGCCTATGTAGCCATGGGTATTTCCCCTCTAAAGAAATTCTCAACTCATTCTATAAGGGTGGCAGCAGTTTCAAGGGAATCCCTCCTTTTGATTCTATGCAGGGGTTCAGGGGTTGGAGCTGACCCGTTTATAGAGGGTAAACAGACATAGTGAGCCTCCAAGAAAGGAAAATACGGTAAATATGGATAACATTTTTCTGAAATATATATTCAGCACATGTTCCATGTAAAGTTTCAGTGTTAGTTATATCCAGTGTGCTCACAGCCTCCTGCTTGGCCTGACAACACAGTGCCTTTCCTACAGTGAAATCAACGCCCACATTGTCAGCGCAGAAAAACTCCACCTATCTGCCAGCCCCCTCACTGCACATGCATGCATTGATTTCTTCCTGGCAAAAAAAAATGTTGCTACATTTCAAAAACCTTAAAGGATAAGTTCACTTTAAAAAAAAAAGCTAATTTTTTTTGCCTTTAAAGCATTTCAGGTATCCTGCAGATAGTCTGTGTGCACGAACCTCATAGTTTTATAATGACAGGAAGACTTAATGAACTACCACAGCGCTCATCAATGCTATGGTAGTACATTAAGAACTACAAGCCGACATCCGCAAAGAATATTAGGACTTGTAGTTCATTCATTCATTCACAGAACTCTGTAACAGAATAACGCAGCTGTATGGGCAGAGCCCCGCATGGTCACGCTGTTTTCAAAAAGTGACAGCTAGTACAGGGAACTTCTCCCCCCGTACTGCTGTCACAGGGAGAAAGGGCAGCATGCAGCGGCTGCAGCAGTGGGAACATGTTATATGTACCACCCTAAAAATGGGTGTAACATGTTCCCAAAGGTGAACTTATCCTTTAAACAGTGCAGCACTACTTATACATCAATTATATCATGCTGAGAACAAAATATCAATTAAACAGCAATATTTTTACACCTTTCACCTACTGTGTGCATCATTTCAATATAAAATTTGTCCACCATGCTGGAAATGTAATGTCCTCAATGAATAGTCCAAATTCATTCATAAATAAAAATCAAAAATTCACTATGATCCATTTCAGCACACACTTTTGCATACTTACTGTATCTCCTACATGTGCTCTACCCTTAAGGTTTTCACCTATCAATTGCAAAATTATAAAGAGCCTTTTCCCCCCTCACTCTCCACTACCCCTTCCTTCACCTTTTCTCCTCTTTCCAGTCATGTTGTAACTCAGAATAAAGCGCAAGATATGCTCATAGTGCTTTCCATAAGAACATCAACATTTATTAAAACATTAAAATTTGATACAGTTTAATGTATACAGTATCTAGTGCACACGGGCATAATGCTTGTTTGATAAAATCCCATAAATATGCATAAAATCTCTACTTCTGTGTTGCCTGATCACTTTTTGGCTGAGTATGATGACCTCCCCTGACTCCATGCTCAGCCAGGAAGTGATCAGGCAAACAGAGGAATAGCATGGCCGATCACAGTTTTATGCATGTCTATTGGATTTTATCAAGTCTAGCATCTCTTTAACATGTTGGCCACAATATACTGCTTTTGAAAATACAGCTGCAGAGTTGTCTATTTTCTCTCTATACTTCCCCAATTGCTTCAGGTGTGCCCTTTCTGCTATCCCCAATGCAGTGGCATTTCTCTCTATGATGAAATGTTTGCAACAACTGTTGCAACAGTTCAATATCTTTGGGGTGATCTTACCAGTAGTAGACCAAAAGACACTCCTTTCTCTAGACCTACATTTTTCTAGATGTTTAAAAAGGAGGATAGAAGACGTAAACACTTCCTTGTGATGGAAGTTACAACCATTGCTCTAGGTGTTTGTACTAAAACCTGGATCATGCATTTGGACTCTTGCCCCTTGGATTGTACCTTGGACTTTTTAAACCATGCTATCTATTCTGAAACCAGCCTGTCTGATGTTTCAGCTCTATCCTTATTAATTCCTGGATTCTTTGGCGTTGACCAGTGGCCATCATGAGCTTCTGCTTGTAACCTGTCATGACATACTGACTCTGCACCAGACCTGTCCCCTTTTATGGGATGTTCACCAAGTTCAAACGTATCTTAGTCAATGAAGAAATTTATAAAGTACTAAAACAAAATTTATGTACAGGTATATATATTTTTTCATTTCAAATTGTGAATGTAATTATTAATGTCACTGTTAGCTAGTTTATTTGACAACCCATTCCTCTTTAGTCACTAGACAGTGAAATGTGTGAACTTTCCAATAATTTTGTCTATCCTTACCTAAAGGTCCAATTTTCCCTTCTATCCTATCAGCACAATTATAAAAAAAAAAATTAGCATCAAAACATATCCACAGTTGCAAATTTTTATAACTAGGATATTCCATGGTTGCAAACTTTTGTAACTAGGATATCCTAGTAGTCAGCAAAATGTTTAGCCTGCTTTAGGTGTCTCTGTAATAACAGATACCTTTAGATTAAAACTATGGGCCAGCTTTGGATCTGTGTAAGCACTGCAGAGTTTTTTTTTTCTTTTACCAGAATTGTATCTGACCAGGGGCGAACTGACCATTCGAGCACTCGGGCATTGCCCGAGGGCCCGGGGTCAGTAGGGGGCCCCATGAGATGCTCCTGGTACCTTTCACTGGCTTTTTCATAGGCTTTTTTTTGGTGTGGGTGAGGACACGGTGGCCCCATGATCCCCTATTGCCCGGGGGCCCCCATGAGTTGTCAGTCCGCCCCTGTATCTGACTATACCCCTACACTAAGGACATAACCCAGATATGAGGAACTGAGATGATTTAGTTTCTCTGTTGGTGTTTTTCATAATACTAATAGATACTGATCAGTCTTCGAACATTGTATGGTTTACTTATATACTGTATATAAATCATGTAACATACCAAGGATGACACAACCGAGAAGATGGCACTTAAAGAATGCACACCACTCTAAAGAACGAAATTTACTGGTCAACTTTTATTAACTTACAATCAAGTCAAGTTTAAGGAACAATGTAATAGGTAGTCAAAACTGCAGAACCTCAAAATTACGAACACTGGGTGCAATGATCCCAACAAAAGATAGATGGCTATGTAAAGGCAAAAGCATAAGAGCTTTAAAGAGACTGTCAGGAATGGACTTGCCAGTAATGGTGGGACTCACCTGCCTTGTGGGCTGCAGTACCAGGGCTGGCCAGCGGGTGCTCCCAGCAATCAGAGACTCAACCCTGCAGCCAGCCAAACACCTGAAGCTGATCATGCAGGTGTATTTAAGGGATGGCCAGACCTGCAGTCTCTGCCTTGGTGTGTGTTTTGCTATGGGCCCCTGTATCCTGCATTCCTGTTCCTGTCTGATTCGTTGCTGACCCTGCCTGATCCGGACCTCTGCTACTGTCCTGTTTTGAACCCTGGCTTGTGACCCTGACCATTTCTCTCCGCCTGCTCCTCCTGTACCTTTACCTGCCCGATAGTTATCGACCCGGCCTGCCTGATTACGTTGTGCTCTATATTATGTGTATGTACCTGTGTATTTGTATCAGTTTAGGTTTGGGTTTTTGTCACCTTTGTTGTATGTATTTGTGTTAGCTTGGGGTTTGGTGCACTGCGTTTATGTTTGTATTGTTAGTCTTTAATAAATTGTCTTATTTATAACATATCTGAAGCTTGCGTTTCCCTGCATCAGTCCCACACACTTCTGGTCTGAGGTTGTGTATTTATCTCTGCTACTGTTTGATGACAGAGAATATGCTTATCAGACTCTGAAGGAGTATACCCGGGATCAACTACTAGAGTGTATAAGGATCGCTCATTGCCTAGTAGATCAGGGCACAGAGTTCTCGTGAGGTGCAGCCATTGATTCAGGTTTTGTGCTGAGTTGGTTTCATCTGGTACCCCCGAATGCAGGGATGAATTTTTGCCACCATTTAGTGCCGACCAGGTAGAGTCCCTGGTATGGTTATTAGAGGATGATGTGGATTACTTTCTGAAGCATTATTCTGCATGTTCACCACAGGTACTAAGAGATTGTATAACGCAGTGCAGTCTTTGACCAGACAGGCTTTGTGTAAGCTCAGCTTTGTTCAACCCATACTGCAGACATGGTCAGACTTGTTGCACCCAGCTCAGTCAGCTTGCAACGTCATTCCTCTGCTCAAGGCACTCTTCCTGCATCCCCGACAGCACCCCCAGTGACTGCCCAGTATACTCTAACTACCACATACCAGTCCTCTGTTCCCCACTCGCTGCACCTATCCTGCCTTTAACCCTGTAAAGAAGTCCTCTGTAGCAACTGCTCCCTCCTCTGTTCCATCTTCCAGCTCTTCTCTGTCCTCAGCTGCTCCATTCGTTTACAGACCTGCATTTACTTGCAGTGCCCAGTAGTTAAAACCAGAAAAAAGCGAACATTCTTTCCAACCAGTACCATCCTGCCAGTATCCAAACCGGTGAGCCTGCCGTTCTGAGAACCTGCCTTCCGTGGTTCAGCCTGGTGCCTCGGCACCCGCACTTCAGCCTGATGTCTCTACCCAGCCTGATGCCTCTACCCAGCCTGATGCCTCTACCCAGCCTGATGCCTCCACCCAGCCTGATGCCTCCACCCAGCCTGATGCCTCCATTCAGCCTGATGCCTCCATTCAGCCTGATGCCTCTACCCAGCCTGATGAAACTGATCCAGCCTGATGATTCCATTAGGCCAGTTGACTCAATGCCCGCTGTCGATCCAGACGATCCGGTACCTGATGACCCAGTACCCGCTGTCATGCCTGGTGACCCGATGCCTGCTGTCGAGCCAGACGGTCCAATTGCCTGATGACCCAGTGCCCGCTGTCATGCCTGGTGACCCGATGCCCGCTGTCGGGCCAGACGATCCAATGTCTGACCCCAGTGCCCGCGGTCATGCCAGTTGACTCGGAGCCCACTGTTGTGCCTGGTGACTCGGTGCCCACTGCCTTGCCAGATGACGCGGTGCCCCCGCTGGCGAGCCAAATGACCTGATGCCTGGTGACCCAGTGCCCCGCTGTCGAGCCAGACAATCCCATGCCTGATGACCCAGTGCCCGCTGTCATGCCTGGTGACCCGAATGCCCACTGTCGGGCCAGACGATCCAATGTCTGACCCAGTGCCCCCGGCTGGTCATGCCAGTTGGGACTCGGTGTCCACTGTCGTGCCTGGTGACTCAGTGCCCACTGCCTTGCCAGATGACGCGGTGCCGCTGGCGAGCCAAATGACCTGATGCCTGGTGACCCAGTGCCCGCTGTCATGCCTGGTGACCCGATGCCCGCTGTCGAGCCAGACGATCCAATGCCAGATGACCCGGGTGCCCGCTGTCGATCCAGACGATCCGGTACCTGATGACCCGGTGCCCGCTGTCGTGCGAATTGACTCAAAGCCCACTGTCGTGCCTGGTGACTCGGTGCCCACTGCCTTGCCAGATGACGCGGTGCCCGCTGTCGAGCCAAATGACCTGATGCCTGGTGACCCGATGCCCCCCGCTGTCATGCCAGACGATCCAATGTCTGACCCAGTGCCCGTGGTCATGCCAGTTGACTCGGAACCCACTGTCGTGCCTGGTGACTCGTTGCCCACTGCCTTGCCAGATGACGCGGTGCCCGCTGGTGAGCCAAATGACCTGATGCCTGGTGACCCGATGCCGTTGTCGTGCCTGACGACCCGGTGCCCGCCCGCTCCGCCTGGGGGCCGGTGCCTAGCGTCCCTCCTGGGGGTCCGGCGCCCGCCCGCTCCGCCTGGGGGCCCGGCGCCCGTCGCTCCGCCTGGGGGCCCGATGCCCGCTGCTCCACCTGGTGGCCCGGCGCCCGCCGCCCCGCCTGGTGGCCCGATGCCCGCTGCTCCGCCTGGTGGCCTGGTGCCTGCTGCTCCGCCTGGTGATCCGGTGTCCAGCCCGATGTGCCTCTGCCGGAGTCTAGCTCGATGTGCTTCTGCCCGGAGTCCAGCTCGATGTGCCTACTGCCCGGAGTCCAGCTCGATGTGCCTCTGCCGGAGAGTCCAGCTCGATGTGCCTCTGCCCGGAGTCCAGCTCGATGTGCCTCTGCCCGGAGTCCAGCTCGATGTGCCTCTGCCCAGAGTCCAGCTCGATGTGCCTCTGCCCGGAGTCTTGCCCGATGTGCCGCTGCCCGGAGTCCTGCCCAGTTGTGCCACTGCCCGGAGTCCTGCCCCGGTGTGCCGCTGCCCGGAGTCCAACCCGGTGTGTGCCGCTGCCCGGAGTCCGAAACCCGGTGTGCCGCTGCCCGGAGTCCTGCCCGATGTGCCAGTCTTTGATATCCCGCCAGTTTCCAGACCCGGGCGGTGGAACTTTTGCCCAGCTAGGACTGTTTGGAGCGTCCTGAGGCCGCTCCTTGAGGGGGGGGTACTGTCAGGAATGGACTGGCCAGTAATGGTGGGAGATTTTTTTATTGAAAAAAAAAAAATCTTGCAACCAGCATACATTTCTTTATAAAAGTATAAATAAATAAATAAACACATGGCCACACATCCGGCTTAAATACAATTACACAAGGTTACTTCACCATGAAGGAAAACATATCTTAAAAGAAAATGCAAACACACAAATTTCAAAAAAAAAAAAAAAGGCCTTTATAGCTTTATACTAAATAGCTAATATTGGCGCCTTTCAGGCGCTACCTATATACACTATAACAGTAACAATACATAAATCCAAGGCTAAGAAACATAGATCTTCGGATGCACAAAGCCTCTCTTAAAAATTCTTCTTCACAAATCTAGGGGAGTAAAAACACACAGGAAGAAAAAAGAACAGAAAATCCACACCCAGAGATCAACAGACTGCGACTACAGACCTGATATTCCTCCATGCCTCTATCCAGGCCCTTCGCCGCAGCCTATCTTTCTCAAGACCCGAATTTTTCCCAACCTCACCAAGAATGTCATTCACCACCACCAGAACAGGACGGGGGTAAGGACTTTCTGCCGAAGGGAGACCTGACACTGTGCGTTCCAGGTGAAATATCGGACCACTAGACCAACTAATAAAAGAGTGTCAAAATCAAACCCCACACGTCTTTCAAAAGCCCTATATACCCACTCCGCATAAGACATGCGGTGCAGGAACGGGATGTCTAGAGCCCTCCCCACCCTTTTGTACACCTCTATATTGAAGGGGCACTGAAGCAAGAAATGGTCCATAGATTCCTCTTCACTCCCACAACTCCGCCGCTCATCCTCAGAGAACGGAAACTTCAAGTTCCCCCTCACATATAGCCTGCCATGGAACGCAAGCCAGGCCTGGTCCCTAAATTTTCAAGGGAATCCTTTCCATGTTTATCAATATTAAACACCCTCCCGCAAACTATGGCCTGGGCAATCCTTCAAGGCCAGAGGTGCATGAAAACGGTGGCCACGACCCTCTCCCTGAGAGATCTCCCAGGAAGCGATCTGACCTCCTCCGCTGTCACACACCACCGCCTAAGAATTTTCAAGCTCGGGGCAACATAAGCCGGGAGCTTACCGTGCTTGACTCTCAGGCTTTTCACTGGCCCGCGAACACTCTCCCAACAGTTCAGAAAAGGTCTAAACCACATCAGAAATAAACCTACCCATGCAGGCGGCCTCTCTTTCAGCATGTTACCAAAAAATTATGTTTAATGAACATTACAGAGAAGAAAACGATCGGTTGACCATTCCTAAGCCACCCTCCCGCCTGGGTCGATAGGTCACATTCCGCTTCACGAGGTTCAGCCTGTTTCCCCATAATAGCTGGAAAAACAGCTGTAGACCCTCGTGTAGAGAGACTCTGACAAGAGACAGACATAACTGACGTACAAAAAGACCGGAATCAAGTAAGTCTTAATCAGGTCGACCCTTTCCCTTAAGGAGAGCTCGCCACCCCTTCCAGCATCTTACCTTGACCTCGGCATCAGACAACCTGGATTCCCAGTTTGCTTTACCATAATCATCAGGGCCAAAAGTGATGCCTAACACTTTGATATCTTCGACTGGGGCAATGGGAAGCCTTCCGGAAGTGAGAAGTTCTCACCATCCCTACCCATCCAGAAAACTTCCCCACTTGTCACGATTAATCTTGGAGCCTGATGCCTCCGCATACTGCTCCATCTCTGAAAAACCACCACCTGCGCCTCCTCAGCCCCAGAAATAAATACAGACACATCATCAGCATAGGCTACAACCTTCAAAGGTGGCTCACCAGTTGCGCCCACCAGCACCCCAGCCAAAACCCCGCCATCTAGCCTCCTGACGAAGGGGGGGGGTCGATGGCAAAAGCATAAAGCAAGGGGCTCAGCGGGACACCCCTGGCGCACCCCTGAGCCTACCCTGAAAGGCTGCCCAACCCAACCGTTAACCAGCATGAAGCTCTCTGCCCCTTTGTACAATGTCTTTAGCCATCCAATGAACCTCCTTCCAGGCCATACCGGTCAAGGAGACGCCAGAGGTACTCGTGGTCCACCCGATCAAAGGCCTTAGCCTGATCCAGCGCCAACAAATACTTCCCACTGCCATCAGCCCTGCAACGCTCCAGAACCTCCCGGACAGCTAACACCGCTGAGAACGTACTTCTGCCCTGGACAGAACAGTGCTGATGTTGTGAAAGCAACTCGTCTGCCACTGACGACAAGCGCCAGAAAAGAATCTTGGCCAAAATCTTTCTATCGACGTTAAGAAGGCTGATGGGGCGCCGATTCTCAATCGCCCCGAAGGGTCCTTACCCTTTGACAGCAAGATTACAACTCTCATGGAGGGAGGGAGTGAGCCTCATCAAGGACAGCTATTAAAGATCTCCGCGAGACGGGGTGCCAAGTTGGACTTGAAGATCTTAAAAAATTCAGCTGTCAAACCATCCGGCCCAGGCGTCTTCTTGATGGCCAGGACTATCTATGGCTTTGGCAACCTCGGCAGCTGTAATCTCACCTGTCAAATTCGCGGGAAGAACATTATTTTCTAGACCTGGCGTAGACTCCAAAATCCTTGCCTGGTCGAGGTGCTTCTCCCCCAAAAGATCCTTAAAAAAAGCCCTCGAGACCTCCAGGATTCCTGCCCTGGATTTTGTCAGGGAACCTGTACTGTCTCTCAGACCAGTGATCATCTTAAACCGCTATACCTTGCTTGCAATTCTGGTAAGGGTCGGTGTGAATGGTATTTCCCATAGTCCCTCTCCAGAACCAAGGAGGCATGCCGATCATATTGATATTTTCTGAGGAGAAGTTTAACCTCTGAGGTATTGCCCCAGAATCTCCACCCTCAGAGACAAGGCGATCGAGTTTCCTCCTCAACCGTTGGTAGGTAACATATTTATCAAATTGTTTCCTCTTACCTAGGGCCTTGAAAAAATCCGCACCTTGGTAAGCTCCCACCATTCTGACTTATTGTCACAGAAATCCAGGATGGTCTCCTGAGCCTGGAAAAAGTCCTCGAAGGATCGTCTCACCTCCTCATCGTCCAGCAGGGACGAATTCAATCTCCAGACACCCCTCCCCTTCAGTGGAGTATCTGCAGCATTCAAAGACACAGTTAGCAAAAGGTGGTCAGAGAATTCCACTGCCTGACACATAGGTGCCGAGAAAAAGCGGAGTCCCCTTTTAAAAAAAACCTGTCTATTCTACTCTCACTTCTACCTCACCTAAATGTGAACCCCGTGCTGTCCGGGCTGCACTTAATTAAGCCTCCTCCAGACCTGCTTCCCTGACTATCGCATTTAGAAAAACGCTGTCATATCCCAGCCTGTCATTGGAGCCTTTCCTGTCTTTGGGCCTAGTAACGGTGTTGAAATCACCTCCAAAGACAACCTGCCGGGATGTAAAAAGGAAAGGCTTAATCCTTGTAAAGAGGCATTTCCTGTCCCACTTTGACTGCGGGCCATAAACATTAATGAGCCTCAGCTCCTGCCCCTTCACAAGGACATCCAAGACCA